ATCGTTTGGGAAACCTTGTTAAAATCAATTAACTGTGAACATATGGGTTTGCTTTTGGACTCTCAATTCTATCCCATTGATTCCCAGTCTCTCTAGCTACAGATCACCACTACCTGGATGGCTGAAGCTGAGTAATAACTTTTTAATTCTGAATGTGAACTCCCAAAATTTTTCCTCTTTCAATACTGCTATAGTTTAGATTTCTTTAATTTTCAAAGAGTTTTAGGACATGTCTGTCAATTCAAACAGGAAAAAATTCAGTCGAGGTTTGGATAGGAATTGCATTTGAATTTTTAGGTCACCTTGAACTGTATTATCATCCTAACAAAATTAAGTCTCTGCTTTCATGAATAAAGGATGATTTTCTATTTCTGTAGGCTTGCTTTCTTTCAACCATGGTTTTTTTTTAGTTTCCAGTGCAGAAAATCTTGCACTGTATTCATTTTTAAGTTATTTTTGATACTTGATAAAGTTGATTATTTTCATAATTGCAGTTTTAGATTCTTCATTTCTCATGTATAACAATGCAAATGATCTTGTATATTCATCCTATAATCTTAACTTGAATTTTAGTCTTTTAAACTGTACTGACCTATTTTGTGGACTAACACTGGCTTACAGTGTGTGGTGCAGCAGGAATGGGCTCAGTGGTCAAGCACCTGCCTTCCAGGTACAATATTCTGAGCATGATCACTGGATGGCCACACATGATTTCATCTGATTCCTGGTGCTGCCTGTGTGACCCCAGCAGTTTCAACCCCTGGAGCACCACCCAAGAAGACCAACATTGCAACAAGTGTGTAAGTCCATGCATCACAATAGTATCAACAACCACGAGAAGGTGAGAGTGGAAAAAAATTTTTTGAATTACAGTCTGTCTCACGTTCAGCTGAGATAGGCTACATATTCTGTGATGCTTAGAGGCACATTTTTTACCTGTCAATTAAAGATCCAGATATTTTGAAATATTCTTTCATTTACATACTGACAATTTTATTTTATATTTCTATCCATTTTTAAGAGTCAAAGATGGAAATCTAAATATGATAACTGAATTGTCTTTTTCTCTTCAAACCAGTGACTTTTTGCTTTGTGTATTTTCAGGATGTTTTATTGAGTATGTGCATGTTTTTCATTGTTATGATTTCTTTATTGACCCATTACTTTTGTAAAAATGACTTTGTCTCAGTGACAACGTTAATGACATCCTGTCTGATACTAATAGAAACACAGATCTCTGTTGGTTACAATCTGCATAACAGATCTCATGCCATCCTTCTAAGTCAAATGGCTTGTGACATGAATATAATTTATGTCTCTAATTGGGAGCATTTAGTTGAATCACAGTCTTTTACCTATTCTTCTAATCATTGACATTTGATTTGAGTATTCAATCATTTTAAACTCAATGTAATCACTGTTAAGATTATATTTATGGATGACATTTCAGTATTGATTTTTCTGAAAGCTCATCCTTTTGGTTCTCCATAACTGATTTTATTTATTTAGAGAAACGTTTTTCTAAAGTATAATTTTAAATACCTTGCCAACTCTTTCATTATATACTTTAATTATTTTCTTAGTGGACTGTGGGAATTGTTAATATTAACATCTTACTGTGATTAAGTATGGGTGAGCATCAAGTTAGTGTCAACAAAATATTTTTTAAAACAACTTTCTCTTTTATAACTCCAATTCCATATCCACAGGCCTGGAGGACTTATTATAGTACTTGTTATAGAATAAGCCTCTCTGTTGCTTTGAGCGCATACTTCCTGGAATGTCTCATTTCTGCAGGATCTCTTTGAAGTTTGTGTTAAAGTAAATTCTTCTCAGAAAGGTTTGCTTGACCTCTGGCTAGCGCGACCATCACTTCTGAACAAAGCTCAACTCTGTGTTCATGGACTTCAAGATGATGTAGATTTTAATCACATCAATGGAATCTGTTTTAGATTATCTGAAAATGTCAATTTACTTTCAGAGTTTCCAAATATATAATTATTTGATAACAGTCTTTTCTTTCAATCTTTGAATGTGTCACCCAACTTCTCTCATGATTTCTCAGGAGAAATCAAATATTAATGTTAAAAGAACCACTCATAATAATAGGAGTTTTTTTCCCTTGCTGCTTTCTTATTGTCTTTGCCTTTAGATGCTTAGATTATAATGTATACATTTATACCATTTTGAATTTATACCACTTGCAATTCACTCATATGCCTGGATATGTTTGTAGAGACTGTAAAATCTGGAAGACGTTTGTAGAGACTGTAAAATCTGGAAGACATTGGCCCTGATAGCTTTATGCATTCTTTCTGCCCTTAGAGACTGTCCTCCTTTGCATGCTAGTAAACTCAAATGATGCCATTAGTTTCTGAGATTTGGATCATTTCTCTTTAACCATTTATCTTTGCGTTTTTTGAATTGGACAATAAACGTTGATATTTGCTGAAGTATTTAGATTCTTTTCGTGCTCAAATCTGCTACGCAGTCTTTCTCATAAATGTTTTATTTCAGCTGTTATACTTTTTTCAATTTTTGATTGCAGTAAAATACACATAAGATAAAGTGTGCCATTGCACATAAAGAGTGCAATGCAGTGATACTAATTGCTCCATATTGCTGAGAAACTATCTCCACCCATCCCGAGAGCTGTTTAGTCTTGCAAAAGTCAAGTTCTAAGCCCATTAAGTGATATCTTGCCATTCTTTCTTTTTTCCTGAGAAAGATAACAACATTCTACTGCGCTTCTATAATTTTGACTAATCTATGTACCTCTAAAAAGGAGAAGTAGACCGTGTGTGTGTGTTTCAATTTAAAAAATGACCCAACTTTTCATCTATGCCACTTAATCTATTCTAGAAATAGACCAAGTTTGTTTCCTTATAGGGACAGACCACAGTTTGCTTATCCATTCTTATGTCAATGGACAGTTGAGTTGATTCCATAGGAAGGGAGTGTCAGCTAAACTCAGGAGAAACTTTCCTTCCCTGGAGATGCCCTAATCAGTCTAGTCTATGGGAAGTGCAGAAAGGCAGAAGCATTCTCTTAAGAGTTTCAGACTGTGGGGGCTGAAGTACAGAGGGAGGGTGCTAGCCCTGCTTGCAGCTGACCCAGGTTCTATCCCCAGCATTCCATTTGGTCCTCCAAGAAGTGCCAGGAGTAATTTCTGAGTACAGAGCCAGCAGTAACTCCCGAGAATTTCTGGGTGTGACTCCCCCCACAAAGCAAACAAAATAAAATAAAAGAACTTAAAACTGCAATCTAGAGCCATGAAGATATGGTTAATATCCACATCATCTTGAAGCCCAGGAACACAGAGTTGAGCTTTGCTCAGAAGTGATGGCCATGCTAGCCAGAGGCCAAGCAAACCTTCCTGAGAAGTACTTACCTTAATATAAGCTTCAAAGAGATCCTGCAGAAAAGAGACATTCCAGGAAGTACGAGTTCAAAACAACACATTATTGACCAGAAATGTAAACAAGCTATTGTGAGACAGTTAAAAATGAAAATAAAAATGCTACAATTCATACCACAAAGATATTGGCATGTTCAGGAAACAAGAACATGAAGACATTGGAAATTTGGTAAAGAAATAAGAGTTTGTGAATTATTCAGGAAATTGGAAAAGAGATGCAACAAAATAAGATGTCAGTGAATGAGAAATAATACATTTAATAGACGAGGTTAATGTATATCATTGGAACAGTCTACGGAGCCATATTGATTCACACACAGATGCTAGGAAAACGAGTACCCATATGTAACAATTTCATTCATAAAGAGGGAGACAATGCCAATGGCTCCAAGCTTTTAAGATAATTAGACAACAGCTGACCCATTTGAATCTATATGCAAATTTACGAGGCCTTCATAGACATTAGTCATCTAGACTAAACATCTAACAGTCTGGGGATGTGTTAAACTTAGACTCAATTAATTAAACTGATTTTTACTAAGAATGTTTTTACATTTTTCATTATAGGATATCAGAGCATTTTTTCTTTTTATGTTACCTTTTTCCAGACTTGTAATGAACAACATGGGCAGTAGCCAATATGGTAGAGTAGGTAGGACGCTTGCCTTGAACATGGCTGACTGAGGTTTGATATCCAACATCTCATATGGTAATTCCCTAATGTAGGGTCAGGAATAACCCCTGAGCATCATAACATCAGGTATGGCTCCCAAACCAAAAACAACAAGAAGAATAAAATGAACAACAGTATGCCCACCTATTACTTCATGTTTGCCCTCTAATTGTTCAATGAGGTAAACCACAAATCTTGTGCCTCATGTCATTACATTTGTTCTTCATGACCCAGGTACAATTTTAAAGAAAGCCAATAAAATCCATTGATTATTTATGAATTAGATTTCAGTGCAGACAGTCTACAACATTTCAAATGAACCATCCTACATTCTAAAGATGCATTACCATACTGACTATCCTTAAATATTTTACTCTACAAAATGAGCAAACACAGTGCGTATATCCTGAGATGTCCTTGTACTCAGCTCTAGTTGTCATCAAAAATTTTTGGTTACCTATTAACTATGTGATCAGTCTCATGTAAAATATAAGAAAACACAGAACTGTGAAAAATTGCGTGTGACAATAGTGAAATGAGAAAAACATAATTATTTTTAAATTAAAATATGATCCTTCCATTTAAAAGACAAATCATCTTGCCTAGATACATTAAAAACTATCATTGAGGAATATTGTGTAGGTCCAAATGAGATACACAGGTCACTGAGTGGAACACTTTGGTAAGTCAACTCTTTACCCATTATGAAAGCCTTCAATATTATAGAAAATGATTCACAGCTCCAACAAAATGGTCTGTTTTGTAATGTGAGTATATTAATTCTACAGTGAAAACACCCAGTGGCTTCTGGGCAGTGAAACTGTGATCAATACCAAGATCAATTCTATAGTCAGAAACCAGCACAGGGAACATTCTTCCCCACTATTCATACATCACACTGGTACTCACAGCTGGAGAAAATGAGAGGGCAGGAGTGCTCATCCATGGGGAAATTGTGTAGCTGCAGCTGACACTCTGCATTGATGGTAAGCCTGTGGAGAGATCCGAGTGTCACTCCTATTCAGTCATCCAGGTACATCCCCACAAAGTCTTAAGACAAAGGGAGGGGACATGCTCCTTTGCACACTGGGGACAGGGATGGGTAGAGGGTACCATGAGGATCACTCAATCTGGAATGGGACTCTGTGTAACTCACTCCATGGGCCATATTTTGTGTTAAGGATGGGAAGTAGAGAGAATTTCAGCTCAGACATTTCTCAACTGTGTGGAGAAATACAAAGCAAATCCAACAGAGAGGCAACAAATAAATGCAACTGTTGGTTTCTACATCCTGGTTTTCAATCTGTTGGACTGAATTCAATCCTTCCTCCCTCTGGAAGCTGGTGTGTGTCCACAAGACAGCAGTCCAAATTAGCATTGGGAGCTGCCCCCATGTCGGCTGACTTGGGGAAGTCACGTAGCTTCTTGAAGCAGGTTTTCTGACCTGGGTTGTTTTTCATAACAACCAGGAAGACCCCACAGAGGTCAATTCAAGGATAACTTCCCCTTTTATTAGAAAAGCATTCGTCAAAACTTCTTGTTTGGTCTGTTCAGTTGACTTCAGTTTTGGTTTGAGGGCCACACCTGCTAGTACTCAAGGATCATCCCTGGTGGTGCTCCAGGAGTCAACTATGTAGGGCCGGGGATCAAACCCAGGAGGAACTCCCTCATGCAAATCCTGTTCTCCAGCCTTTTGAGCCAACTCTCTTTGCTCTTTTTCTTTCCCCATACTAATTTATTAGCTATAAACATTTTATTCTTTTACAAATTAGTACTCCAAGATTATGACTATTTTTGTTTATTTTGGGGCCACATCATGCAGTGCTCAGGGGTAACTCCTGGCTCTGCACTTAGGGATCATTCCTAAGGATGCTCAGGAAACCATATGGGTTGCTGGGATCATATCCAGGCTGTCCATATGCAAGGCAAATGCCTCATCTGCTGTGCTATCTCTCTGGCCCCAAGGTCATGACATTTTAAAAATTACTTGCCGAGTGGATCTGTGAGTTAACTATATTCAAGATAAATTTACAAGGTCTACTTTAAGCAGGAATGGACTCTGGTGCAAGAAGAAATTTATATCCACTACTGAAACTATGTATGCCCTTCTTTTTAAAGGCTTGGTACGTGGATGGGCTTTTTCAGGATGCTGTAGCAGGTTGAACAGGACACGCAATGCAGACTTAGCAATAAAATAAGGTTGCCTCACACAACAATCTAAATTTTGGGCCCAGAGTCAGTCCATCCCTCATTAAAATCCAGCGGTGTCTTACCTTAAGGTGTAAAGGATTTTCCCATCATTCCAGATTCGGAGGAGTTGATTGGGTGTGGTGATCCAGTGGGCCTCTGCAGTCTTAGAATTGCGGAAGATGGTGTCGGGAATCCAGATCAGCCCCACCATGTTGCTGTTCAGGGTCAGGATTTTCATGGTGCTGTTGAATCGAAGGCGGCTATCTGTCCAGGTCTGAGCAAAGAACACATCGATTTGGTACTCCTAGAACAGAGAAAAGGACAGGAAAGATGGTGCTGTCAGTGGATTTTCTATGTGATTCGCTGTCCAAAAGTCTGTATTTTCTCGATAAGGCTCTTGCTTTGCATGTAGCCAACCTGAGTTTGATCCCTGGCACCACATATGGTCTCCTAAGTCCCACCAGGAGTGATCCCTGAGCACAGCGGTGTGTGGCCCCAAAACAGAAACAAAATTTGTATTTTCATCTATTTATTGTGTTCCTCCCCCCAACATCTTCACCTTTTTTTACTTTTTCTGTTAGTTCTTACAAACAGAAGTACTGAACCTGGTCTAACATGGTCTAATTCTCAACAAATTGTGGTCAGTATTATGGGTCAATTGTGTGATAACAAAGTGACAGTGATTAGCTGGTTACATTTTAAAAGGTACGTAAACTGTGATGAGGAAGCAAAAGGATTATAATTCAGGGCAGAGATGCAAAAGTGCCTAAATAACAGTCCAAGTTATCACCATTAGCTTTACCTAGAAAGCCTTTACTACTCCATCTGAAAAGTGGGTACAGAGAGGTATCTACCTGCTAAAGAAGTTGTAAGGAAGAAAGAAACTACTATAAGACAAACTGTCAGTGTCTTACATAGAACAGGAGACCCATTATTATAGGTATATAAGGTAATAATTATTATTTTCACAAGAGAATGCTCAAACAATATAACTCAAGTCAAAAAAAAAAGAGAAGCAGAAACAAAGCACTATTTAACACATTGTATACCTCCAAGCCTGGCAAGCTCCCCGTGATGTATTCGATATGCCAGACACAGTAACAACAAAGTCTCCAATGGAGATGTTACTGGGCCCGCTCGAGTATATGTTATCAATTACATATAATAATAACACTTGTGGCAAGCCAACCAAGTGTTAATTCCAACATAAGGCTGATGGAATTAAAATTATTGCCATAAATGGAAGTCACTGAGGATTCACGACATGGAATATGACTCTTATGTGTCTAATATGTTGTAGGGAGGAGCTAAAATCACTTTAAGACTTAAAGAAATACTCCTGAATCAACCCAAAAGATGCAGCAGCAATGTAAAGGACAAATGTTGGGTCAGGAGTATGTGGAAGACAAGGCTGCGGGTCCTCATCCACGTTCCAGGGTCCATTTGGGATTCTCGTCCTGATAAATGTGCTGTTCTCTCTGCTCAGATCTCATCTCCCTGGGGCTTGGCTAGGACCCTGTCTGGTATCCTGGAGACTCATGGCCCCTAATTTGCTACAGGGGTGAGAAGTGACTGCGCTTTCCCAGCCAGGAGCTGCTTCCCATTCTTCTCTCTTCCCTAGTGTCTTTCAACCCTTGCCAAGAAGAACACATTTATTTTTGTTTTGTTTTTAAGCCACATCCAGGGATGCTCAGCAGTTACTCCTGGGAGGTGATTGGGGGACCATACGGGATGACGGGGATCCAGCCTGGCTTGGCTGCATGCAAAGCGAGTGCCCTACCCGCTGTCCTATCACTCCAGTCTCCCGTAATACATTTCTTGTGAGAATCTTCAAAGCTTTAACAGGTGTCCATGAGTGCAGACACTCCTGGGTGTCCCCTGGAGCACTTACAGGAGCTGAAATGTGGCCATTTGTTCCAGTACCCACATAAGGGTTAACAACTGGACCTCCAAGTCCAAGTAGAAATGACCTCTGGGCTCCGTCAGTTAACAAACTACGTGAAGTCCTTTGCCTGTCTGCATCCCTGTGCCCTCTTCCAGGCACATGGGAGGATGATGTCAGAGGACAAGACGTGGCTCTAGCCCTGACAGATTCTGCCTCCACATCTGTGCGAGGGATGCCCTGCTCTGTGAAACTCTCTTTTCCCTTCTGTGCCTGCCTCTTGGACTCAAGATGTACCCAATCCTCAGGGGTTTGTGTTCTGCAGGAAATATCTGGCCACCATCTTGAAGACAACAGTGGGGCAAATGGGGTGGGAATCCTGCCTCCCCCAAACACTGTGTTTCTATAAGGAATCTCCTAAGACAGTCCTGGGGCAGGGATGCTGGGGTTCGGGGGTGCTCTCTGCTCTGAAATCTGGCCATTGAGCCCCACACCGAAGGATATAATGAGTTGGGGTGTGTGTGTGTGTGTGTGTGTGTGTGTGTGTGTGTGGTACATGGCTTGGATGTTTTATCGCGTCAACATTTTACTTAATGTTGGAGAAACACTTGCCACCCACAGAGAACTCTTTTTTATGTCTCTCATAAACTTTCTTTGTAATGGCATTAATCATCTTTCTATTCTGTAGGGGGTGGGGGAAGGGGAAGAAAACCATACTGCAATGTGTTTCTAAAAATCAACAATATTTTATATAACGCATAAGTAGCTGTGAGATGAATGTGTTTTGAATGCTAACAAATGGGATGGGTGAAAAATGAGCAGAACCCCTGATTTACACATGTGGGTGTGGAGGGCCTCCGTTCATAATATGTTTGAATAATTGGAGGGCTTAATGGCTCCTAAATAGGTCGGGAATTACTGTACAATGGGGAACATTTTGACAAAATAGAGGAGATAGCAGGCCTTCCAAGGATCCCTGCTAACTTTGAAAGCAATTTGTTTCGCTGTACTTCCCTTTGCCAAAAAAAGGAGAACAAACGGGAAAATGATTAATTAATAAAGGACGACTCTCAGAAGTTGGGGAGACCGGCATAACTGGGACCTGGAGCTATCGCCGGCTGGGTTCTGGGTGCACTAAGTTGCCAGACTGCCTGGAGAGATGGAAAATGTACTAGGAAGGGAAGTTCTCTTCCTTGGGGGGGGGGGGGGGGGGGCACAGAGGTTTCCAGGGACACATCCTGCTTCTATTCCTTCTGTGCTCAGGAGTGAACCCTGGCAAAGCTCCAGGGAACACAGGCAGGGCTGGGGTCTGAACAGGGGAGGTGACACGCAAGGGCAAACATGTCACCCTGTATTATCTGGCCCTCAGCCATTCTCTTTAATGTCACCCCAACCCTAGGCTGACTTGAGGTGCATAAACCTATGAGGAAATGGTAAGTAAACTAAAGTAAAGTAAAGACCCTCCCGTCGATCATCGATTTGCTCGAGTGGGCCCAGTAACGTCTCCATTGGAGACTTTGTTGTTACTGTGTCTGGCATATCGAATACTCTCGGCAGCTCGCCGGGCTCTCCGAGAGGGGCGGAGGAATCGAACTCGGGTCGGCCATGTTGGCTGCGTGCAAGGCAGACGCCCTACCCGCTGTGCTAATTTGAATAAAAGCATTTTAATTTCTTCCTTAGCAGGTCTGGAAATCTAACAAAGTCTAACATCTTTTTTAAATTAATTAATTTTTAAATTGCATCACCATGAGAGCATTACAAAATTGTTCATGATTGTGTTCCAGTCACACAATGTTTCAACACCCATCCCTTCACCAGTGTAATTTTCCAGCACCAGTGTCGCCAGCTTCCCTCCCACCCCTTCAAGCTACCCCCACCCTCACCCCAGACTTCTTCCATGACAGGCACCTCTCTTGTCTCTCGCTCGCTCACTTGCTCACTCGCTCTCACTCTCTCTCTCTTTCTGAATTTAACACCTTTCTTGAACCATTTTCTGAAATGAGTCCTGGGAGATGCAGATTTACAACTGGCCCCCTGTCCTCCCACCCAAGACTCCTGAAGTCTGCCACGCCACCCCTGTCATATATTAGCTTTCCTCGGAGGGACTCTCCCTCTCACAGAATACCCTCCCATAGACTTGGGCTTCTCCAGCATTGGGGACCCGCCCCCACCCCACCATGGCACTCTCATTTCTGAAATGGCCAAAACAACCATCGAAAAGTTTAAGCTGGTTCCATCACAGTGAACACAAGAAAGGTGCATTGACAGTGGAACGTTTTTGTAGTACCCTTATACTCAAGAGGAGTACCAAAAGCTTCTACCAAGTCAGGATGGGGCCTTCCCTGGGGATTCCTCCACATCAAAGACATGGCATAGCCTGAAAGGGGAGGGGACACTTCCAAAGCTGCATTGTGATCATCCAGGCTTCTAGAAGTTCAATGTCAGGGACCAGATAGGACAGCAGGAGTAAGCACTGAGTACTACTAGGTATGGCCCACATATATCTAAAAGAGTTTTTAATTTTGAAACTAGATTTTTAAAAATACATTACTTTGAAAGACCCTCTTTTTATCTCTATGCTGCTATAGAACAGGACTCTCAAATTCTCTAATTTGAGAGGGATGTCTACAGTCAATGCCAGATTGAAGACTCCACACCAACTCCCTCCTCCTTCTCAGCTGAACTTAATTCCTGTCTTCAAGGCAATTTCCCTTTCATGAAAAATACACCAAAAATTAATATGTAATATAAATATCCCATTCTATCCCATTCTTAAAGCAGCACTGGCAGGCACATGTCTGTGTCCTTACTGTGTGCTATGTAATCTATTTATTTGACTAGTGATTTCTTAGATCTTCCCGACAATGTCATGTAGATGACATGACTTGCTTGATTTTCTATCCAAAGATAAGAGTCAGCATATAGATGAACTTCCTTTTCAATTAGAACAAAACTGAACTACATTTTCACACTTTTGTGGGGTTGGGGGTGGTGAAAATAATAATGGACCAGAAAACCTAATAAGTGAATTTAATTTACAAAACTCAATTACAGGGGAAATATTTAGATTTCCAGAGTGCATTAGACAAACCTTTCAAAAATGACTCATCACTGGTGATGTCTGAGAACATGGCATGTGGGCTGGGAGGTGTCGAAGGATGGAGCACAGTCTTTATCTGATCCTGATCCTGTATTCAGGATCCTGGGTTCAATCCCGGTAGCTCAGAGTGGCCTGGGCACTATTGGACTGATCCCCAACCATGTACCCAATGCATGGCACAAACATAAACACAGCTATGAATGTGAAATGGAATGATGACAAAAATCAGAGCTTAGATATTTTCAAAGAAGTCAAGTGACTGAGTCTGTACTACAAAAGGGGAGTAGAAGTGAATGAGTCCTGAGGGCACAGGGAAATTATG